TCTCGCAGCCAGAGCCCCCGTCGGGCAGCCGGGTCCCCCCCGCGCGCCCCCGGCCCCCGCAGTGGCGTCAGGCCACGGAGCTGCAGGCCATGCGTGGCAGCAAGGTGAGGATGGGGGGTGGTGGGGGGCGGTGGGTGCCACGGGTTCACTCTGGTCCTTGGGGTCCCACACGCCCAGGCTGCCTGGTCCCCACTCTGTGGCACCAGGAGCAGTCTGGCACGGCCACTTGGCACCGGCCGCTCGCCGGGATCGGTGCCCATCCCAGGGCAGGGCTGAGCCCCGGAGCCGTGTGCTGAGGGCTGAGGGGGGGTCTCTGTCTCTGCTTGGCGGCGGGAGGGGGGTCTCCGCATGCTGCATGGCTTGTCCCCGCTCTCCCTCTCTCCGCAGCCGGCTGCCCTCGGCTCGGCCCGGCCTGACCCGCCCTCCCGGCCCCTCCCGCCGGACCCTGTGCCCAAGGTAACGCCCGGGCAGGGTGAGGGGGGGGTCCCTCAGCCTCCCCCCGACCCCACTGCATGCCTGGCTGCGCTCCAGCTCTTGGGGACTTCTGTCACACGGCTGTCCCCAAAAACCCCTCCTGCCCAGCAGGAGGCTGGTCCTTGTGCCCCTCCACTGTCCCCGTGCCCCCCCCGCTCTCTCACTGTCCCCCTCTCTCTGCCCAGGCCCCCCCCTCGGACAGGCCGCCCCCCCCCACGCGCCCGCTGCCCGCAGACCCCGTGGTGCTGCCGAGCCCTCAGGTAACGGCGGCGGCACCCACGCGTGGGGCAGGAGGCGAATTCCCACCCCCCTGAGCCCACTGAGGGGGTCAGACCTTGCTGGATCTTTGACCCCCCCGTCCCTCCACAGCCCCCGGGTCCAGCCAAGCCCCCCCCACCGCAGCGGCCGCTGCCCCTGAACCCCCTGGGCCCTTCGCTCGCCCGCAGCGAGACCCCCTCCGGGCACCCCTATGTCACAGTGATCCCTGCCAGGTGAGCAGGGGGGGGGCAGGACAGGCCTGGGGGGCCTAAGGGGGCTGTAGGGTTTGGGGTGGTGAGGGGGGGTTGTAGGGTGCCAGGGTGGGGTCTGCAGGGTGGCCAGAGAGGGGACAGAGTGGGCAGCCAGGAGAAATGGGGGGTGTCAGAATAAGGGCAGGGGAGGGAAGAAGGGGTGGAGGGTGTAGGTCTGCAGAGGCCAAAATGGGGTGCAGAGGGGGGAGCCAGGAGAAATGGGGTGTCAGAACTTGGGGTGAGGGGGAAAGAAGGGGTGTAGGGTGCCAGGGTGGGGTCAGCAGAGGCCAGAGAGGGGACAGAGTGGGCAGCCAGGAGAAATGTGGGGGTCAGAATAAGGGCAGGGGAGGGAAGAAGGAGTGGGGGGGGCCATGGTGGGGTCAGCAGAAGTGCAGAGAGGTAAAAGGGGGTGCAGAGGGGGGAACCAGGAGAAATGGGGGGTCAGAATAAGGTTAGTGGGGGAGAAGAAGGGGTGTAGGGGGCCAGGGTGGGGGTCTTCAGATGCCAGAGTGAGGTGCGGGGGGGGGGGCAAGGGGGGGACCCAGGAGAAATGGAGGGTCAGGACCAGGGCAGAGGGGGCTGTGGGGTGCCAGGGTGGGCTTTGCAGAGGGCAGAGGGGGCAACCAGGAGAAATGGGGTGTCAGAATCAGGGCAGGGGAGGGAAGAAGTGGGGTGGGGTGCCAGGGTGGGGGTCTGCAGGGCCAGAGGGAGGTGCAGGGAAGGGCAGAGGGGGCAACCAGGAGAAATGGGGTGTCAGAATCAGGGCAGGGGAGGGAAGAAGTGGGGTGGGGTGCCAGGGTGGGGGTCTGCAGGGGGCCAGAGCGAGGTGTGGGGTGGGGGAACACAGGGGGGACCCAGGAGAAATGGGGGGTCAGAAACGGGGGGGGCAAGGAAGGGGTCTGTGGGGGGGCAGAGGGTCTGCGGGGGGAGCTATGAGGAGCCCCCCTCTCACCCCATCGCACCCCCCTCTCCCCAGGCCCGCCCCGGCCCCGCCGGAGGCCTGAGCCACAGGCCGGGACAAGACCGAGCCCCGCCGGACCCCGTCAGGCCCCCCCTGCCACGTCAATAAAGGGGCTGTGAGCTGCCCCCGCGCCGCCTCCGCCGCACCGGGACCGACACCGGGACAGCGGGACAGCGGGAGCGGCCCCGGGACACCGGGAGCGGGGAGCGGTGCCGAACTACAACTCCCAGCAGCCCCCGCGCCGGAAGAGGCTCCCGGCAGCAGCGCCCCCTGGCGGGGACCGCGCGCACCTGCAGCGGGAGGGGGGTCGGTGTCCCGAGGGGCCACGTGGGCGAGGGGACGGGGGGGACACGGGGGGACACGGTGTGTGTAAGAGATGTCCTGTGTGCACGGGCACGTGTGTGTGCGTAAGAGCTGCTCTGTGGGCACGGGCGCACGCGTGGGCGGGGGCTGCCACACACATGTGAACACACGTGTGCCAGGGCTGTTCCGGTCAGCAGGGGTCACGTGTGTGTGTAAGGGATGCTCCGTGGGCACGGGCACACGTGGGCATGGGCCATAGAACTGCCATGGATGTGGGCAGACACGTGTGCAAGAGCTGCCCTGTGTGTTTGGGCACACGTGTGCTCTGTGGGCACACGTGTGCTCTGTGGGCACATGCACTGCATGTACAAGAGCTGCCAGTTGGACAGGAATGTGTACACATGTGCACAGGGGCTGCCCTGTGTGCACAGACACACACAGGGGCAGGGGTGCCACAAACATGGGCACACGCATGTGCAAGGGGCTGCTCTGTGGGCAGGGACACTTGGGCATGAACCGTCACACGCTTGGGCACACACGTGTGTGTAAGAGTGGCTTGGTGGGCACAGACACATGCAGGGGCTGCCCTGTGGGCAGGGAAACACGCATGGGCAGGGGCTGCCACACACATGAGCACACGCATGTGCGAGAGCTGCCTGGTGACATGTGTGGGTAGGAGCTGCCCTGTGGGCACAGGCACATGTGTGTGCAAGAGCTGCCACATACGTGGGCAGGTATATGTGTAAAAGATGCCCCATGGGCTCAGGCTCACATGTGAGCAGGAGCTGCTCTCTGTGGGCACAGACACACGTGTGCAAGAGCTACTGAGTCTGCGTGGACACGTGTGTGTGTGTGTGTGTAAGAACTGCCCTGAGTGCATGGTCATGTAAGAACTGCCAGGCACGCGGGCACACGTGTGTGCTAGAGCTCCCTGATTGCACAGAGACACACGTGGTCAGGAGCTGCCACCCACATGGGCACACATGTGTGCAGGGACTGCCTTGTGTGCGTGGACACACATGGGCAAGAGCTGCCACCCACATGGACACACACGTGTGCAGGGGCTGCCAGGTGGGCAGGGACACACATGGGCAAGAGCTGCCACCCACATGGGCACACACGTGTGCAGGGGCTGCCAGGTGGGCAGGGACACATGGGCAGGAGCTGCCCTGTGGGTACATGCACATGTGTGTGCAAGAGCTGCCCCGTGGGCTCAGGCATACGTGTGGGCAGGAGCTGCTGCACACATGGGCACATGTATGTGCAAGAGCTGTACGGTGGGCACAGTTGTGGGCGGGAGCTGCCTGGAGGGCAGGGAAACACGTGGGCAGGAGCAGACACACATATGGGCACACGTGTGTAAGAGCTGCCTGGTGGGCAGGAACATACATGTGGGCAGGGGCTGCCTTGTGTGCAGAAACACACATGGGCAGGAGCACGCGTGCAGGGACTGCCAGGTGGGCAGGAACACGCATGGCCTGGAGCTGACACACATATGGGCACATGAATGTGCAAGAGCTGCCAAGTGGGCAGGGACATACACGTGGACAGGGGCTGCCTTGTGTGCACAAACACGCATGGGCAGGAGCTGCCACACACATGGGCACACACGTGCAAGAGCTGCCAGGTGGGCAGGGACACATGGGCAGGAGCTGTCATGTGTGCATGGGCACACATGTAAGAGCTGCTCTGTGTGCACAGACACACACGGGACAGAGGCTGCCACACACATGGGCACACACGTGTGCAAGAGCTGCCTGGCAGGCAGAGACACACACGTGGGCAGGAGCTGCCACACAGATGGACACACACATGCAAGAAATGCTTGGTGGGCACAGACGTAAGTGGGCAGGAGCTGCCCGGTGGGCCTGGGCACACGCGTGTGCAAGAGCTGCCCCATGTGCACGGACTGTCCTCCGTGGTCCCCGCAGTGCCCACCCAGTGCTGGTGCCAGTGCTGGTGCCAGTGGGTGCTGATGCCCGGCCAAAGTGGGAGGGTGGGCGCGGGGAGCAGCTTCTCCTCCCGGTGCCATCGATGTCCACGGTACCGGGGCAGTGCCGGGTTAGGGTGGGAGGTACCGGGGAGCGGGATTGGGCTGGAGCTGCCGGTCCCACTGATGGTGCCGATGGATGCCGGAGGTACCGGGCAGTGCCAGGGATGCCAGTCCCAGGTGCTCGGGCAGTGCTGCTCCCGGTGCCGGTAGATGTTCATGGTACCGAGGCAGTGCCGGCTTGGGGTGGGGGCACCGGGAGGGTACCGGGAGGGTGGCGAGGAGCTGGATTGCAGCCGGGCTTCCGGTCCCGGTGCCGGTATGAATGTCGGCGGTACCAGTCGGGGTGGGGGGGTCTGCCGGTCTCGGTTGCCGGTGCCAGTCTCGGTGCCGGTCGATGTCGACGGTACCAAGGAGTTGCCAGGGATGCCGGTCCCGCTGCCGGTGGATGTCGGCTGTACGGGGGGTTGCCGGATTGAGGCGTGGCTGCCGCTGCCGGTGCCGGTGCCGTTGCCGGTGCCGTTGCCGCTGGATGCCGGCGGTACCGTCCGGCGGGGGGTTGCCGGTCTCGGTGCCCGTGGGTGCCGGTGCCGGTGGGTGTCGGTGCCGCCCGCCAAGGGTTAATGGCACTCGGTGAAGTTGCCGGGCGGCGGCGCGGCGGGATTGGCCCGAAGTTGTCGGGGCGGGCCGGGCCGTGCCGAGCCCCGCCGGGGCCGCCCCGCCCGCCGCCCCCCGCCGCCCCCCGCCCGCCGCCGGCGGAGCCATGCGCCCCGCGCCGCTGCTCGGGCTCCTGCTCTGGGCGCCGCTGCTCTGGGCGCCGCCGGTGCGCGTCACCCGCCACGGCGTCCACTGGAACGGCAGCAACCCCAGGTACCGCCGGCCGCCCCCGCCGGCCCCGCCGCCTTTGTGCGCCCCGGGCCCCGCCGAGCCCCGGGCCCCGCCGAGCCCCCGGGCCCCGCGCCGCCGCCACGGGACGGGACGGGATGGGATGGGGCGGGAGGGGCGGCGGGCGGTGGGCTCCGGGCTTCGGGGGGGCGGGGCTGCCCGGCCACCGGGCCACCGAGCGCCCCTGGGAGAGTAACCGAGACGGGGAGCACCTCCCGGTGGGAGCGAGGCGGGGAGCATCTCCCGGTGGAGCTGAGCCCCCCGGGCATCCCCGGCAGCACCGAACCCCGGGGTGGTGCTGAGCAGGTGAGTGGCCCCGGTGGTACCGAGCTCCCGTGGTACCGAGCCCCTGGGCATCCCCGCCGGCACCGAGCCCGCGGTGGTACCTCCCGGTGGTACCGAGCCCCGGTGGTACCGGGCCACTGGGCAGCCCTGGGCGTTGCCGAGCTGGTGAGAACCCCTGGGGGTGCTGAGCCCTGAGGGGCACCGAGCCACTGGGCATCCCCGGTGGTACCAAACCCCGGGTGGTACAGAGCCACAGGGCACTCCAGTGTGCCACCGAGGCAATGAGCACCCTGGGTGGTGCTGAGCCCCAGGCACTGCCGGTGGCACTGAGCCCTGGGTGGCATGGAGCAGGTGAGTCTCCCCTGGTGACGCTGAGTTCTGAGTGTTCCACGCCGGTGGGCAGCCCTGGTGGCACCAAGTTCCCGCTGGCACCAAGTTGGTGGGCACTCCTGGGGGCACCAGGCCCCCGGTGAGTATCCCAGTGGCACCAAGTCCCCAAGTGGCACCAAGCTGGTGGGCACTCCTGGTGCTGCCAAGTCCCTGGTGATACCCAACTGTGCCGAGCCTGAGTGCACTTGGTGGCACAGAGCTTTGGTTATCCTCTGGTGGCATCAAGGTGGTGGGTGGCAGTGTCAGGGGTTTCCATGGGTTCCCATGGTGGGTGTCTCTGCTGCTGGGGGCCACCCCAGCCCCTACCCTGCCAGGGGTGCTGCCCATGGGCTCTGCCATCACCGGTGGGCTGGGGTCTGGTCCTGTCCCCGCTCCCGGCCTCCTCCATTTTAGGTATTTCCAAGCTTCAGGGAGCAGGGGGAAGGGTCAGGATGCTGGGCTGGGATCCTGCAGGCTGTGCTCCCCCTTGCAGGTCCTGTGCCCTGGGCCTGCAGGACTGGGGCAGGTGGGCACATGACGGGCAGGGCTGGGGGCACAGTTGCTGCCTTGCTTCCTCCCTGTGGATGGGAGAGGTGGGACCCCACTACCTGTGGGAAGTGGGGCTCCGTGTGCCCCTCAGCAGGGTCAGGCAGCCCTCGGCCCTGCCTGGGCCTGTCCCAGCCAGCGTTGCCCGTGGGATGCTCTGAGTCAGCACGAGCCTGTGCCCCGTCCTGTCCTCGAGTAGCCCCCGGCCTCGGTGGGGGGCTCAGAGGCCCGGATTCCCCCCCCCACCAGTGCTGCCATCCCAGTGATGAACGTTCTGGTCTCTGCCAGGACTCTGCACCGTCCACGAACACTGGCTGCACCGGGGTGGATGAAGGGGGCTTGGGGTCTCCCTGACAGCCCCCCCTGCTCCATTACCCTCCCAGGACCAAGCGTGTGCAGTGCACGTGTGTGCACATGTGTGTGCACACGTGTGTGCCCGCAGAGCTGTCTGCTCCACCCCGGCCTGGCCGCACACGCTGTGAGCTCACTGCATCCTGCCCGTGCCTGAGCTGGGCCCCCTCCCCTGCCCTTCCTGCTGCCAGAGTCCCCCCCCCCGTGCCCCCTGCCCCGGCCACCGCCCCCTGCCAGCGCCGAGCCGGTGCGGGAGCGTCCCGCCGCACGGCCCCCCACCGGGGTGTCATGTCCGATCAGCGGCGAGGCGGGTGCCTGGGGCGAGGGGCTTTGTGCCCGGGCAGCGTGGCTCTCCCCCCGCCTCCGGCCGCGGTGGCCGAGCCCATTCAGCTCCAGCGGCCTGCGGCTAATCCGAGCTGATGCCTGGCTGCGTGGCGCGGGCGGTGTCCGGTCTCTGTTTTGGGGGGAAGCCCAGCTCCCTGCTCCGCCGGGGCCGGGGGGGCAGCGGGACACCCCTCCCGGCGAACCCCCCGGCTCGTCCCGCCCGGCAGGTTCCTGCGGGACGACTACTCCATCCAGGTGGCCATCAATGACTACCTGGACATCTACTGCCCGCACTACGAGGGGGCCGTGCCCGCCGGCCGGGCAGAGACCTTCACGCTCTTCATGGTGGACCGGGAGGGTTATCGCGGCTGCTACGAGACCCCCGGTGCCTTCAAGCGCTGGGAGTGCAACCGGCCCCGGGCGCCCTTCGGGCCCGTCCGCTTCTCCGAGAAGATCCAGCGCTTCACCCCCTTCTCGCTCGGCTTCGAGTTCCAGCCGGGGGAGACCTACTACTACATCTGTGAGTGCCCCCCGGGTGCCGTGGGGGGCTGCACCGGGGTCACGGCACATTGGGGCACTGGGTGCAGCCCCCCGGGGTCAGAGCGTGTCAGGGGGCTTGGGTGCAGCCCCCCAGGGTCCCCATGGAAGTGGGTTTGGGGCACAAGGGAGGGTCAGGGTACACGCAGGATCTGGATCCCCCACTGAGGTTGGGGGGAGCAGGGGGAGTCTGGATGACTCGGGTTGAGGTGCAGGGAGGTCTGGATGCCCCAAAGATGGGGGCATGAGGGGTCGGGGTGCAGGGGGGTACAGGGTGCCCTGGGATGTGGGGTTCTGGGGGGTGTGGCATTCAGGGAGGTTCTGGGTCCCCTGGGGTGAGGGGTTCATGAGAGGTGGGGTGCGGGGGGTGTCTGGATGCCCTGGGTGAGGACATGAGGGGGTCAGGGCGCAGGGGGTTTCTGGATGCTCCCGGGGTGCAGGGGGTGTCTGGGTGGGGGCATGAGGGTGTTGGGTTGCAGGAGGGTTCTGGATGCCCTGGGTGGGGGCACAAGGGGGTCAGGGTGTCCCAGGTTTGGGGTGTAGGGTGGGGTCTAGATGCCCTGGGGTGGGGGATGCATGGAAAAGCAGGGTACAGGAGGTGTCTGGATTCCCTGGGGTCGGGTTACACGAGGGGGTTGGGGTGCACGAGGGGGGTTTGGATGCCCTGAATTCGGGGTGCAGGGGGTGTCTGGATGCCCCCGGGATGGGGGCACAAGGGGGTCAGGGTGTACACAGCAGGGGGTTGGGGTGCTCCTGGCTTCAGGGTGCCTGAGGTGGGGAGGTCTGTATGCCCTGGATTTGGGGTGTGGGATGCCTTGGGGTGGGGGGTGCATACGAAGGTGGGCTGCTGGAGGTGTCTGGGTTCCCCGGGGTGGGGGCACGATGGGGTCAGAGTGCACATAGTGGGGTCGGGGTGCCCCCGGGTTCGGGGTTTCTGGATGCCCCGGGTTGGGGGCACAAGGAGGTCAGGGGGTGCCCCTGAGGTTCGGGGTGCCCGGGGGAAGGTGGGGGGTGGGGGTGTCTGGATGCCCCTGGGTTCGGGGTGTGTGAGGAGGGGGTCTTTATGCTGCGGGTTCAGGGTACCCGGGGTGGGGGGTTCTGGATACCCACGGGTTCGGGATGCAGGGTGGGGTCTGGATGCTGGGGGGTGGGGGCACCCGGGGGGTGCCGTTCCCTCAATGCGCCGGGAGGGGGCGCCCCAGGCCCGCGCTGACCCGCCGTCGGGGGGTCCCGTCGGGCCGGGGGGGCCGTGCCGGGGGGTCCCCGCTGATCCCCCCACCCTGCCCAGCCGTCCCCAGCCCCGAGAGCGCCGGGCGCTGCCTGAAGCTGCGCGTCACCGTCTGCTGCCGAGGCACCAGTGAGTGGGGCTGGGGAGGACTGTGCCCCAAAACCCGGGGGGGACTGTGCCCCAAAACCCGGGGGCTCCCCCGCCCCCGGGGCAGCCCGGTCCCCGCGGAGGGGGTATCGGCGCCTCGGGGGCGATGCCACGGAGCCCAGGGGAGCCGCTCCCTGACACTGGTGGGGTTTGTTTCAGCACCGGAGCCGGTGACAGAGGTGCCCAATTCGCAGCCCCACGGGCGTGGGGGGCCCGAGGGTGAGTACGGGGCGACCAGGGGGTGTCAGGGGGCCCGTGGGTGAGTACGGGGGGGCCAGGGGGTGTCAGGGGGCCCGAGGGTGAGTACAGGCGGGCCAAGGGGTGGTGAGAGCCCAGGGACCAGCTCACCCTGACCACCGCTCCTGCCCTGGCAGACGCTGTGCCTGCGCGGGGCACCGCAGTCCCACCGCAGCCCTGCACGCCGTGCCTGGCACTCGTGCTCCTGGCCCTGCTCCGGATCTGACCCCGGCACTGCCCGTGGTGGGGGGATGGGCTCCTCTGCCCCGGCGCCGCTTCCAGACTGTTCCTCACCGCCAACCCCCTCGAGCCCGTGGGGCAGCCCCGGGCCACGACCCACCTGCCGGACCTCCACAAAGCCGAGCCGGGGCCGGGAGCTCCGGACTGGAAGGTGAGGGGGGAGCAGGGAGGCTCTGGGGGGCTGGAAGGTGAGGGGGGAGCAGGGAGGCTCTGGGGTGGTGGGTGGGTACCCACTTGCTGCACCGCAGCGTCCCTTGATGGGGATCTCTCCCTCCCAGGGCTGTCGCTTGCCACCGGCATCGCCGCACGCCGGGATTGCCACGGGTCAGCACCGCCGCACACCGGCATCGCCGCACACCGGCATCGCCCCCACGGCATCACCCCGGCACTGGGCTCCCCTCAGCAAATGCCTCCTCTGCCCCACGGCCGTCACCTCATCTCGTGCCTTCCCCCGTGGACCCCCCGCCCCAGGGGGCCCAGGGACCCCCCAGGCCCTGGAGCGGGGCAGCAGCTCCGATGGCAGCGTCGGCCACTGCCGTGTCCTCTCCTCCTCTGGTGAGGACACACCGATCTGTCTTCTGGGAAGACGCCTTCCTCCGTGCCCTCAGTTTGGTTTTAAGCCCTGGTAGTGACTGAGCAATACAGTGTTTGCAAGATCGCTGTGCCCCGGGTGTGCAGCCCCCCCGCCGTCCCCCCTGCCTGCTCCTGCCCCTGCAGAGGTGCCGGGGTGGCCGCTCCAGGGGGTCCCTGCCCCTCTCTCCCTCCACGGCCTTTAAGGCCAAGGGTTTAATTGCAGTGGTTTGATACTGAGTCATCAGCTCATGCCACCGGAGACCTTTAATTACAGGCAAGCTGCCGGTAATTAGCACCTGGAGGTGGGATGAGCACCAGGACAGAGGGTCGGGGGCAGCAGGGTTGGGGGTCACTCACCCAAAACCCCCAGCTGGGCGCCCTGGCCCCACTTGCTGCCCTTGGATGGGGTTGGGGTGTCCACAGGGCAGCCATTCTCCATCCATCTGTCTGTCTGCTACACACCCTGTGAGATGCACTCCCAAAATGGGGGCCCTGGGGGGTTTTCCTCTTCCCCAGTGGGCACCCAGGCTGCTGCAGGGGCTGATCCCATGGCACAACCAGGTCGCTGCCAGGGTCATGGCTCCGGTGCAGCCACACGCCCCAGGCTCGCCCACCAACACGAGAGTCCTTTGAGGCTCCTGCTCCCCCATCCCATGAGTGCAGCCCCCACTGCCCTCCCACGGGGCCCAGAGGTGGCCCAGTTGCCCCCGGGGCCTCCCACAGCAGGGCCCCCCAGCCCCTCGCCACGCAGGCGTTGCCGGCCGCCTGCCGCAGTGGTGCCGGGCACGTCAGACAGGTTTTATGGCTTCTGGGAGAAAGAAGCTGCTTGGCAAGAGAGGCTGAGCGAAAGCATCGACCGTGCTGCTCCCCTCCCCCCCCACCGCTGCTGCCTGCCCTTCCCCCGCCACACCCTGCGCCCCATCCCAGCCTGTACCCATCCTGCATCCTATCCTGCACCCCACCCTGCACCCCATCCCACCTTGTACCCCATCTGGCACCCTATCCTGCACCCCACCCTGCACCCCATCCCAGCCTGTACCCATCCTGCATCCTATCCTGCACCCCACCCTGCACCCCATCCCAGCCTGTACCCATCCTGCATCCTATCCTGCACCCCACCCTGCACCCCATCCCACCTTGTACCCCATCTGGCACCCTGTCCTGTACCCCACCCTGCACCCCATCCCACCTTGTACCCCATCTGGCACCCTATCCTGTACCCCAACCTGTACCCCATCCCAGCCTCCACCTCACCCTGTGCCCCATCCCAGCCTGCACCCATCCTGTGTCCTATCCTGCACCCCAGCTTCACCCATCCCAACCTGCACCCTTCCTGTGTCCTATCCTGTACCCCAGCTTCACCCCATCCCAGCCTGCACCCCTCCTGTGTCCTATCCTGCACCCCAGCTTCACCCCATCCCAGCCTGCACCCATCCTGCACCCCATCTCAGCCTATACCCCAACCTGTACCCCATCCCATCCCCATCCTTCACCCCAACCCCACACCCTCAACCCCACAGGACAGGGGCACCCTATCCCCATGGGAGACACAGAGGCTGCCTAGTGCAGGGAGAACATGTCCTGGGAGATCCCACCCCGGGGGGGTGTGAAACCATCTGACCCGAGAGACCCCCATGCGGGATGCTCAGAGACCCACCTGTGGGACTCCCATGCAGGGATTCTAAGGGGCTGTGCCCTGTGGGACCCCCATGCACGCATTCCAGGGGTCAACCACGCCTTGTGGGATCCCTATGCAAGGATTCCCGGGGGCTGTGCCCTGTGGGATCCCCATGTGGAGGATGCTGGGTGGGGGAATCCTCCCAAAAGACCCCCATTTAAAGATGCTGAGGGGACAACTGTGCCCTGCAGGACCCCCATGCAGCGAATCTGGGGGTTGTGCCCTGTGGGACCCCCATGCAGCGATTCTAGGACCCCATGTTCCAGGGGACAGCCATACCCTGTGGGACTCCCATGCAGGTATTCCAGAGGGGGCTGCCCACTGCGCCGCCCCTTCCCCAGCCCCCCGGGTATTCCCAGGCGAGGCCGAGGGGTCCCTCTGGCGCCCCCGGGGGTGGGTGCTGGGTCCGGGCTCAGCGGGGTCCTGTCCTTGAGCCGGCGTTGTTTGGTATGCGGGAGCCACCGCCGGCTTCAAATCCCATCGACTTCCAATGAGCAATGCCATCAATAACGGCTAATTGATGGCGCGGCCGCTCCAAATCAGATTCCCCGTCCCCTGAATCCAATTGATGGCTCCGCACCCCGCAGCCGCCGCGGCAGAAATTGAATCTATTCAAGGAATGGGCTCCATTAGCCCGTCCCTTCTGTCTCGCCATCCCCCCGCCTCGGGGCCCCCCCGTCCTCTCCCCCCAACCCCGTGCCACCCACGCCAGCCTGGGGTGCCACGGGGAGGAGCGGGGGGTGAGGATGCCGAGTGCCCCCGTGGGGCAGCCCCAGGTGGGTGGGAGTGAAACGCTCCGAAATTAGGAAAGAAAAATTTATCGCCTGGAATAGCAAGTGATGGGAAATGTTAATAGGCAGCGCTGAGATGGAGAGCGGGATAAAGAGCTGTGCCGTGCCAGAGGCTGGGAGCCACGGCGGGCGGTGAGGTGGGGGCACGACACGGCCATACCCACCCCATGCCCCGGCTCACCAGCGGGACAGGGACCGTGGGTGCATTGTGGCACCAGGAAGAGCCTGGGCACGGTCTCCCAGCCCCGTGGTGCTCTCCCAGCAGCTTCCACTCCTGGCACTGGGTCCCTTATCTGGCCACGCTGCCAGAGTCCCCCCAGCCAGCCATGCCAGGACAGGAGCCCCAGCATGCCCCCAACACCCCTCACCACCCTGGGGTGAGGATGAGGTCAGGCATGACAGCCGACCTGGGGCAGCCCTAGGACACACAGGGGGGACACGGGGCATGGTGTCCCCCCCAGAGGCCTGGAAGGGAGGAGCACAGCCCCCCAGGGCAGCGGGGCCCATCCCTGCCTGTCCCCATGGGCGAAGGGCAACGGCTGCAGCGCCCACCCAAAGAGCTGCCGAGAGCATCCCGGAGATGGGAAATGGCTCCGTGTCACCATGGAAACGGGGCCACCGGCTCGCCATGCCGAGGGGACACGTGTGCTGAGGGGACACGCGTGCCGAGCCCCGAGGAGCAGGGCACGGGGTGTGTAGGGCACCAGGCACAATGCACTGGATGCCAGGTGCTGGCCGCGGGCTCCTCCGGGCTCTGGGGCCACGCCACGGAGCCCATCACCCACCCCGGGCCAGCTCCCTCATCACCCAGTGGTCACAAGCACTCAGAGGGATGCCACCCCTTCATGATGCCACCCTGATGTGATGCCAGCCCAGCGTGATGCCACCCCAGCTGGGCAGCTCCGTGCCACCACGGCGGTGCTGAGCGCAGGGCACGGGCGGGCAGGGGCGGCTGTTCCCCCGAGCAGCCGCCTGATGATGCACATCGTCAAGGTTATAATTTAGCAAAACACTCAGCGGGGGCTTGGAGGGAGCCGGCCTGCACCGGCTAATTAACCGGAGCCGCACGCACCGAGCCTGCTCCTGCCATAGCAATGAGGGCACGGGCACCGGGCTGGCGCCAGCACAGGGGTTGTCACATCCCACCCGCATCCCACGGGATGGGGTGAGCGGCCATGGCTCCGCTGGCCAGTCCCAGCTGCCGGGTGGGAACAGTGGGCACCGACATGTCCACTTCGGGGGCCAGGGTGGTGTTGGTGTGGCAGGGAAGGTCACCGGGGCGTGGGGACGTGGGCACGGGCAACACTGCCTGCACCATCACCATTCTGGGCTGGGGTGTCTGTCTGCCTGTCCCTGACTGTGTCTGTCTGCCCATGCCCTTGTGTGTGCTGGAGTGCCCCCCTCCTCCAGCCCAGTGTAATCCTGATGGACAATAATCCTGCTGTGCTGGAACATGGATGGGCAGGAGCTGCCCTTGCTGCCAGCACTGCCTGGACCTGCTGCATACTGAGGGCCTGTGGGGTCCCCGTGATGGGACCCTCTCTGGATCCCCGTGGAGGACGACTGGGACCTCAGTGGGTGGGTGCAAGTGTCCTGGTGTCACCACCCCAGCACTGCCCCCCCCTCCCCGGGGCAGCCAGACAGTGAGGACAGGGGCTGGAGTGGGCTCCCAAGGGTGCCCAAGTGGGTGCTGCGGGGTCAGCTACGGTGCTGGGTGCCAGGGTGTCACTGTGGCACCCAGCACGAGTGGCTCACACCTCCCTCAGTGCCACCCGGCCCCTCTGGTCACATGTCCACTGGGAGGATGCTGGGGAGATGGAGAGGTTGGAGCCCTGGCACATCTCAGGACCCGCTCACCACGTCCATCGATCTGCCCTGCGCTCCTTTGATCCTCAGGCCGCTAACGAGCTTCCCTGGCAAAGTTACCTCGTTAGCTGTGCCAGATCCCGGTGCTGCCTGGCCAGCGTCTGGCTCTGCCAGGCACAGGCCTGGCATGCCCTGCTCTACCACGGGCAGCCCTCT